GGTCGCAGGTTCGATCCCCGGCCGCCTCATACCAAAAGACGTTAAAATATGGTACTTGTTGGTCCCTGCCTGATGCTTGGCATTAATGGGTACAGCAAGGACTGGTCGGCTCGGAGTCAGTATACTGTGTCTGAGTGGGGTATTCATGCTTAACTGCAGCATGGTATCTCAGTGGACTAGCAATATAAAACCAGCTTAAGTCTTGACTAGTACAAGCGCCATACATGCACACGCATGCACGTCGTCATCTGAGTGAAATATCCTTAAGTATGATGTGTGGTTTGTGTAAAGCCAATTTCATCTCTTTGATTCCCCGCATGTGTGCAATGTGTTAAGTTATTTTTCTGTGCCTTCCCAACCCTAATGCAGCTGGAATTGTTTCAGCCTTGGGTTGCAACTTGAAACTATACTTGGAATATTGCTAAAAATGACAAAAACCCAACTAAGTGACTCACTCATCAGATGACCCTCACGACAAGCATGTTCCTGAGATGTTTCTTGACCAAAATTATTTGCAGGTGTGTTAATATAAACCCAAGTATTGCCTCTACTTGATGACCATATCATGATTTTTCTTTGAGTGCCTAACTTCATCTTAATGATTTCACTTCAGACACTTCATGTGTTTCAAATACAACATGCAACATAAACCAGAATATCTCTCACATTTAATCATCCATGTTATTAAATCATCACCTCCCCTGGAACACCACTCAAAGACAAGTTGGTCATTCTTTCTCCTTCCAAGCATCATTAAAATATCAAAATGATAAAATTAAGTAATAAAATCAGGAACATAACGACCTCATGATTACAACCAAGCATCCCCAAATCAATCTTGGATCTTCATCATGACAACACTGGCTCCGACCACACAGACATTATACTAACATGTCTCATCCTGAATGTGTAATGGTAGAGAATATGGCCGATCGGAACCAGGCTGTTCTCGTAAACTTAACATAACTGCTCCACGAGTTAGTCATAGATTATTCTGGATAGGAAAATTGCTTATAGAGTATCGGCGTGCCATCATGCTCAATGCCATCAAAGATCTCACAATCAACAATGTTATCCTGTAGGTTTACAAATAAACACATTGTGGTCTAAGGCCATTTTGGTTCCACAATTGGTCTGTACTGGGTCCGAAAATGACATAGCATGTATATTGCGTGATACTTAACAATCGTGGTGAACATAACTGAGTGTTTGTTCTGAGATTTTGTGTGAGAGGTACAATTGTTGACAATTGGGATTACAACTTTAAAATCATAATGGATGCTGTCGAAACATAAGCCAAAAAATGGACCAAAAGAGAAGAAGAACCTGTGGAATGTCTTTCAGAGTGGGTTAAGTCAGTATGTGATGTTGTCATTGGTAGAATGCACAAACTGAAAATGAGGAAATGATGGGTGCCACCGATGGGGCAGGATATGCTCACCTTTTCACAAACACCTGGTATCATCACTATTTTATAGTGATTCATAAACACATGCTCTGTCATCGCATGGTGACAATCACTGGATTGTCTGGTCCAGATTTGATTTGTAATACAGCTCAAAGAAATATAGACCCATAATATACTGGTAATGTTAATTAACAAATGTATGACTGTTGATATCTAAGCCAAATGAATAAATAAATATTACGGCAGGGTTGCAACTTAGATGGAAAAATATTACCTACAGTCACTTACCTGCATGACAGAGTTCTGTTCAGTATATCATACATTAATCATTGGATGAGGGAGTTATCTAGAATGTTTAACTTAGTGCTCCAGGGAGACATACTGTGAAAAAAAGCTTTATCAACAAAAATGACACTTAAAACAAAAATATTTGTATCTATTTCAAAGGTATTTTAAGATTATACTCTAACATTGTATTCAAAGCTTTCATGGAAGCTGTGGTGGCACTGATTTCATGTGCCGATGATTTTGGTAAGACTCTGAGAGTGTGGGTTTGAGTCCCAGGTAGGATTCAACCCCCCAAAAAGTACTAGAATCTGTACTTTACAGAGAAAGTGTAATCCCAAATATAACATATGTTACTAACCATTATCATATCTTCCCCTATATTGGTCCTGTAACTTAAGCTATACTATATCAAAATAACAAATGAAATTTAAATTACAATTTTGGAATTTTTACAAACATTTGCTGCAGGCAGGGACTGAATAACATCAGCATGTCAATCTCCATTCCATTCATGATGAGGAGGTCCAGACAACAACAGATGAAGTTCCTTAGATTAATAAAGCTCAGGAAACCATGATACAGAAAATAGAAATCTCCTTCCACTTTATCCTGCAACATATTTGGTACAGCTGCTTCTGAAAACTAGATTAACGTTAAAATGTTCAAAAATAGTCCTGCACCTCCTGATCAGTAACCATTTTTACCCCAACAGATGTAGCTCTTGTTCTTGCAGGTGAACAAAGACGGAAAAAAAATTCAAACTGGAATTTCAATTTTAAAACAATAAAATTCACACACAATGAGTCACAGTGCTAAACTGAACTTAACCTGAAGCTGGTAATGACAAACATGTTGTCTCAAAATAGCTGCTAATGAAAAGATAGGTAATTGGCAGAAATTCAAGATGGCTGCCGAAGGACAGGCTGGACCTGTAACTGTGGCGATGTTTATAGTAACGTTGACGTACATGATCTCATTCACAAGCACCTTGCAGACGGAAATATGAGTTGATCGGAAACACCTGCATGCTGTACAATTAAAGTGCAGCCCTATCTTTGTAGATTAGTTTTTTTGTTCAATCATACAAGTATACCTGTTTTGTAGCTTTCATTATCCTGGTTGATAAGTCGCCTCATTCCTTGATTTAAGTTGTTTGAATCCTAAATCTTTCAAAAACTATTTCCGCCTTAATTTCAGATAAGCAATAATTGCCTGGAAATAACTACACTTAAATGTGGTAGATGAGAAATGTACTTTTTTCTGCAATGTATGATGTTTTAGCAGTAAGCTGTGAAGATCGCATGGGGCAGGACTGACAAACAGTAAACATTATTCGTATTGGATTATGTTTCATTCATAGGCCATTTTCATGAAAGTTATAATTTTTATAGTACATTAGTCAGTATTACATTTTATCCACTGATAGATCATGTCCATTACCATCAGTGTGAGAAATATTTTTCGAGAACAATGGTCTCCACTGAGAAATGGACGGATGGCCGCAAAGACAGTTGGATGGATAGTCTGTCTCACAGTCCCTGAACCATATTATTTTCCTTACAGCCTAGCCCTTCCTGCAGTGCTAAAGCCCTAAATAAAGTAAGTCTAGATTTCCCCAGGTGAATCTCTGGTCTCCCTTGGGCTCCTTTTCAATTTAAATGGGTTTATTTGTTACAGTCAAAATTATATATTCAGGGATGAAGTGTTAGTCTACTGGATGGAAAGAGGAATGGACGAACCCAATATCCCCTACCCATTCCAAAGGACACTCTCACCTGTAGAGTTTGAGGACAGAGCAGCCCCTGCATGTGAAAGAGTGCAATGGAACTGCTAAGTATTGTTATGATTTGAGATTCAAACCTGTTTATGATATCCTTATCAGAACACAGCACCAACATCATAGGTATTGGAATTTCAACAATACATTTGCTATCATAGTTGTGTAAATTGATGCTCATGCTGTTGATCACCAAATTGTATGGTCCAGCTGGAATATTGCTGAGTGTGGCTTTAAACAACTACAAACAAATAGCTGTAGACAATAATTAAAACACAGACCTAGATGGAGGGTTCAGGGGTAACCAGTGCCAATCGCCTACCTCACCCCAAACAAACAGAACTGGAGAAAGGATTTAGGGGAATCCAATGCCGCTCCCTGCCTCACCCCAATACCAACAGATCCAGAAACATGGTTTAGGGGAGTCCAATGCCACTCCCCTACCTCACACCAATACAAACAAACAAATCCTTTTGCATCACAGACATATGTAGAGGTATACATACTTAAACTTAAAAATTGAGTGAGTTTAGTTTTAGGCCACACTCAGCAATATTCCAGCTCTATGGCGGCGGTCTGTAAATAATCCAGTCTGGACCAGACAATCCAGTGATCAACAGCAGGAGCATTGATCTGCGCAATTGAGAACCGATGACATGTGTCAACCAAGTCAGTGAGCCTGACCACCCGATCCCACTGAAGTCCATTCCTATAAATAATATAAACAATAACTTCAAAGTCTGCTTATATATTGATAAACTGTAGACAGCAATTATTGTTCAGTGTGTAACAGCCATTAAGTTCCTGAGGCCCATGCACCACAGACCTTTTGATCCAGATTGAAGTGGGATGAATAAACAGGTTAAACCTGTCAGGAAGATGACAAGGTAAAGATGTTATCTATGGGATGGGTCCACACCCTGCTGCAAGTGTAAATAATGCAACACATGCACTGCCCATTGTGTCATCAGCCAATCAGATAATTGCTTTTCTGCCTCATTTTCTGGTTGTTTATGGAAAATATTCACAACCATTTGCATGCTCAGACAATTAAATGAAATCACTTGTAATCTACGTTTCCAACTAAAAAATAGCATCTAATAATACTCATATTGCTTAACTGCCTTTCATAGTACATAGATTCCCCCCTCCTACACTCACTAATTGTCCTAAAAACGTTTACAGTACATGTTCTCATCTACCACCTCCAGGTCTGGCATTAAAATATGTTAATTTCAGCCAAAGTGTTTTGTTGATGGACAAAGCTGAAACCTTACAAAACAAATAAACAGAAAATACAATCCATATTTCAAAACTCTTTCCAAACATGACATCAAACGTTTAGGTCAGGCTGACCCCGTGAACTCAGCTGACCGGCCGAACGTCTGGCCCGTGCAAAACGTGTACTTCAATCGCTAGATATTCCCATCTCATGTTACAATGATTATGTTCAACATAAACTTTCACCAAAAAAAAACATCATCATATCACGAACAGGTGAGTCAGCTGATCATGAATTCAACTCACCGAGTCTTCTCTGTCGATGTATTCCAACTTCTCAATCTTTAAAAGCCATTTCTTGTCGCGTGCTCTTCTCGCCATCACGTGACCTCAAGTCGATGATAACGGTGTCAACTCTGCTGGTGTGATGTCATCAATGTTCAAACGTCATGCACACAAACTCTATGCGTAACGACTGAAACAACAACTTGTTCTCAACACTGCTTGTTTACGTGCCTCTTGACATTGTCTTTGAATATCGCCTTGAGCGCGTGAACTCTACAATTTCGCACGTGATCTGCCTTAGCTAGTGTCGGGTGTCGTTCATTGAGAGACTTACCACACCTGTTGAATCCGTCACGTGACACACATCAACCATTTTACACGCGGGGCATGGTATTTACTAGTTTTTCTAACAGAAAGGCCACAAGAAAGTCAATCGTCTCTAACTTCCTGCCCCCGGAAACTCTTAGACGTTTGGCATGGGCGAGTCCATTTTGGAAGCGATGGGGTACAGGTAAATTAATGGCACAGCTCCATACTTGAAAACGTTAAATATTTAAGTCCAAAATATCGATTACTATTGTTTCTGACAGTCATGAGTAAACTGGAATTTAAGAAAGTAGGGAAAAACTGTTTCGTATCAATGCGCGATAAGCTATGGCCCCTACAGGAATGTCCCAAGATCTGTGCGCATCTTGAATACCACGTCGAGCGAGAGCACCTTGAGTGAATGTATGCTGGGTTCTGCGGAGATATTAACGCTATGCGCAGACCTACAGGTGGAGTTGGGCAACATGGGAACATTAAAATATCATTTCATGTTGGCCATGAAAAGACAGCGTTTGGACTTCTTTCGGAGCCATATTATACCATTACTCAGTAGCCATTTAAAATGCTTACATGAGAATAATACTTGGATTCTTGTTAATTTGAAGTATGTGCATTCAAAGAACCGAGTTGTTAATGTTCTACACAACCATAATCGCAGGCCTTGTCTCCAGGCGTGTTAGGGTATATAGTGACATAGGAATGTAGTCTGTTCCAGATATCCTGAAACTATGTAGAGATGCCAGATAACTGGGACCAGGGTTCCCCATCCTTGTGGATCCGTCAAGGTTCGGCTTAGAGTTGTCTTCAGAACCCAGTGCTGGACGAAAGAGGCGACAATCCTTGTGGACTAGTGAAGGTTCGGCTTAGATTTTGGTCTGGTTGATGTTTAACGCTGCACTCAGCAATACTCCAGCTATATGGCGGCGGTCTGTAAATAATGGAGTCTGGACCTGAAAATCCAGTGATCAACACCATGAGCATAGATCTACGCAATTGGGATATGATGACATCTGTCAACCAGGTCAGTGAGCCTAACTTCACAATCCCGATAGTCGCCTTTTACGTCAAGCATACCTATACGGCTTAAAATAGATCTTCAGCACCCAATGCTTGACGTAAGAGGCGATAGTCTGTGTGGACCCTTGAAGGTTCGGCTTAGAATAGATCTTCAGTATCCAATGCTTGACGTAAGAGGCGACAGTCTTTGTGGACCCGTGAAGGTTCAGCTTAGAATAGATCTTCAGCATCCAATGCTTGACGTAAGAGGCGATAGTCTTTGTGGACCCGTGAAGGTTCAGCTTAGAATAGATCTTCAGTATCCAATGCTTGACGTAAGAGGCGATAGTCTTTGTGGACCCGTGAAGGTTCAGCTTAGAATAGATCTTCAGTATCCAATGCTTGACGTAAGAAGCGACAGTCTTTGTGGACCCGTGAAGGTTCAGCTTAGAATAGATCTTCAGCATCTAATGCTTGACGTAAGAGGCGACAGTCTTTGTGGACCCGTGAAGGTTCGGTTTAGAATAGATCTTCAGCACCCAATGCTTGACGTAAGAGGCGACAGTCTTTGTGGACCCGTGAAGGTTCGGCTTAGAATAGATCTTCAGTATCCAATGCTTGACGTAAGAGGCGATAGTCTGTGTGGACCCGTGAAGGTTCGGCTTAGAATAGATCTTCAGCATCCAATGCTTGACGTAAGAGGCGATAGTCTGTGTGGACCCGTGAAGGTTCGGCTTAGAATAGATCTTCAGCATCCAATGCTTGACGTAAGAGGCGATAGTCTTTGTGGACCCGTGAAGGTTCGGCTTAGAATAGATTTTCAGCATCCAATGCTTGACGTAAGAGGCGATAGTCTGTGTGGACCCGTGAAGGTTCGGCTTAGAATAGATCTTCAGCACCCAATGCTTGACGTAAGAGGCAACAGTCTTTGTGGACCCGTGAAGGTTCAGCTTAGAATAGATCTTCAGCATCCAATGCTTGACGTAAGAGGCGACAGTCTTTGTGGACCCGTGAAGGTTCAGCTTAGAATAGATCTTCAGCATCCAGTGCTTGACGTAAGAGGCGATAGTCTGTGTGGACCCGTGAAGGTTCGGCTTAGAATAGATCTTGAGTACCCAATGCTTGACGTAAGAGGCGACAGTCGTTGTGGACCCGTGAAGGTTCAGCTTAGAATAGATCTTCAGCATCCAATGCTTGACGTAAGAGGCGACAGTCTGTGTGGACCCGTGAAGGTTCAGCTTAGAATAGATCTTCAGTATCCAATGCTTGACGTAAGAGGCGACTGTTGATATTTGGAGATCAGGCTCTCCGACCTGGTTGATGCGTGTCAGTGTATCCTCAATTCGTAGATCGATGCTCATGTTGTCAATCACGGAATTATCTGATCCAGTCTCGGTTGATTTCAGAAAGCCGTTATTAACGGAGGTGGACAGCCCGAGACAGAATATATCCCCTCTACCCCAGTACCTCACAACGAGTATATAGCGGACATAAACTTGTAACGGTTAACATCATGGCGGCATGAACACAATCGAGTCTGGACCAGGCAAACCAGGAACTAAAACCGTGGGCACACATGCCATCGGGGCACACAATTAGCCCAAATCAGACAGCCTGTCCACCCGATTCTCATTTCAACCGGCTTTAATGCGATAGCTTTCAAGTTTTCTATCAAAACTCAACTTGTCAGTCTCCTTACTAATCAATTCATAAACTACCTGTAATCGCCATAGGTGTTTTATAGCGAAACGGCATTTCTTGAAAACTTGCCTCTCTAGTTCTTGCAGCATTTCTTGAAACCTTATGTTTAAAACTGTTTGAATGAGATGCTCGATATAGAACAGACCGCCTCCGTTGTGTAGTGGTTAGAGCATCCGCCCGGAGAGCGGAAGGTCGCGGGTTCGATCCCCGGCCGCGTCATACCAAAAGACGTTAAAATATGGTACTTGTTGGTCCCTGCCTGGCGCTCGGCATTAATGGGTACAACAAGGACTGGTCGGGTCGGAGTCAGTATAATGTGTCTGAGTGGGGTATTCATGCTTCATGGTATCTCAGTGGGCTAGCACTATAAAACCAGCTTCAGTCTGGGATAGTACAAGCAGCCGCACCTACACATACACACGCATGCACGTCGTCATATGAGCGAAATATTCTCCAGCGCGACATTAAACCCAATTTCACCTCACCTCGCCTCTAATTCTTGTAAAAAAAGACTTTAGTTTTGTATAAGGGTAAATACGGGGGACTATGTAAGGAATTATTGAGTACTGAGGAACCCTCAACTTCCTGGAATGGGATGTGTATACACTACAATAGTCTAACGCTACAAGAGCTGAAAACGGGATGCGCTTTGGTTCCTATACTATAATAGTGTGAAGTAAACCACTGGCCTCAGTGGGATAGGCTTGGAGCGAGTAAGGAGTGAATGAGTGTGAAGGATTGTGCAACGTTTTTTATCAACTTCCCAGCGATATCTCAGGGTATAACAAGAAATGGACTTCACATATTGTGCCCATGTGGGGAATCGAATCCGGACCTTCTGCGCGAAGGACGACCGCTTCAGCCACAAGGCCACTCCACCTAACCATAGTTACAGGGAATGAAACACCAGAACAGTCGGTATCGTATACTCGCAACCTTGCAGCACTCGAAATATTACCGCTTGTATTATCGTCTTAATATCTTCAGTCCAATGCTCAGCCACTTGAGTGAGTGAGTTTAGTTTTACGCCACAATCAGCAATATTCAAGATATATGGCGGCGGTCTGTAAATAATTTAATCTGGACCAGACAAGCCAGTGATCAACAGCATGAGCATCGATCTACGCAATTGGGAACCGATGACAACCAAGTCAGCGAGCCTGACCACCCGATCCCGTTAGTCGCCTCCTACGACAAGCATGGGTTACTGAAGTCTAATCCGGATCTTCACGGATCGCTGAGTCACTTTTAGTGGAAATCGTGTTGGCTGAGTGGGTTAGATCGCTGTTTTTGTGTTCGGGTGATTAGGTGAGTGAGGTGTGAGTTTGAACCCGGGATGTGACTCAACCCCAAGCAGTACGGAATGTTTTTACTGAGAAAGTGTCATCCCAAATCCCGCATGTTTCTTGTTTTGTTGGGGTGTTGATTGTTGTAACCTTGATCAAACAGGTTATAGGGAAAACTTGTGAGACACTCATTAAATACTCATTAAATCGTCGAAAGAACGTGCTCGACTGTACCACCGCACCTGGGAAATGTAGACACCCAAGCGGGTTGGTTGGTTGTTGTTTTACGCCGCGCTCAGCAATATTCCAGCTATTTGGCGGCGGTCTGTAAATAATCCAGTCTGGACCAGACAATCCAGTGACCAGCATCATGAGCATAGATCTACGCAATTGGGAACCGATGACATGTGTCAACCAAGTCAGCGAGCCTGACCACCCGATCCCGTTAGTCGCCTCTGACCACAAGCATGGGTTACTGGAGATCAATTCTAACCCGGATCTTCACGGGTCGTAGACACCAAAGACTGATAATATTCTGTGAGGTATATGACTAAATCCACCATCCATCAGACAGATTACTTATACCATGTACACGTTGTCTAGCACGTCTTTTTTTTAACACGTGAGCTCGTTACCATTATAAAATGATTCATTCCAAAGATGAATAACCGTTCCAATATGGCGAACTATCTGTCCGCCTCCGAGGCGTATTCTCGAAGTGATAAGACCGATATGTTCAGATTGTAGCGCACATGAGCGGACTCAACCGATGGGAAACACGAAAGCTGATAAGGTTCATCCAGAATTCTATGTCAAAACAAAAATACCAGTGAGTCAGTGATAACCTATCGGAAGGCAACAGCAAGCGTACACACAATGTTATCCCCAGATACAGGGCACAGCAAACAGTGGCCGATTGCGGAAGCTGGAGATGCTTAACAATTTGAAATGGATGCTCAAGAGTGAAAACAAACAAAAATTAAGGTAAACAACATGATTACTCGTTCCGAAAAGTGAATGTTGCATAAAGAAACTGA